TTCCCAATGTTGATTCTTCCAATCCAGGAACATGGTATATCTCTCCATCTGTTTGTATCATCTTTAATTTCTTTCATCAGTGTCTTATAGTTTTCTGCATACAGGTCTTTTGTCTCCTTAGGTAGGTTTACTCCTAGATAGTTTATTCTTTTTGTTGCAGTGGTAAATGGGAGTGTTTCCTTAATTTCTCTTTCAGAGTTTTCATCATTAATGTATAGGAATGCAAGAGATTTCTGTGCATTAATTTTGTGTCCTGCTACTTTACCAGATTCATTGATTAGCTCTAGTAGTTTTCTGGTGGCATCTTTAGGATTCTCTATGTATAGTATCATGTCATCTGCAAACAGTGACAGTTTTACTTGTTCTTTTCCACTTTGGATTCCTTTTATTTCTTTTTCTTCTCTGATTGCTGTGGCTAAAACTTCCAAAACTATGTTGAACAGCAGTGATAAGAGTGGGCAACCTTGTCTTGTCCCTGATCTTAGTGGAAATGGTTTCTGTTTTTCACCATTGAGAATGATGTTGGCTGTGGGTTTGTCGTATATGGCCTTTATTATGTTGAGGGAAGTTCCCTCCATGCCTACTTTCTGGAGAGTTTTTTTCATAAATGGGTGTTGAATTTTGTCAAAAGCTTTTTCTGCATCTATTGAGATGATCATATGTTTTTTCTCCTTCACTTTGTTAAAATGGTGTATCGTATCGATTGATTTGCATATATTGAAGAATCCCTGCATTTCTGGGATAAACCCCACTTGATCATGGTGTATGATCCTTTTAATGTGCTGTTGGATTCTGTTGGCTAGTATTTTGTTGAGGATTTTTGCATCTATGTTCATCAGTGATATTGGCCTGTAGTTTTCTTTCTTTGTGACATCTTTATCTGGTTTTGGTATCAGGGTGATGGTGGCCTCATAGAATGAGTTTGTGAGTGTTCCTCCCTCTGCTATATTTTGGAAGAGTTTGAGGAGAATAGGTGTTAGCTCTTCTCCAAATGTTTGATAGAATTTTCCTCTGAAGCCATCTGGTCTTGGGCTTTTGTTTGTTGTAAGATTTTTAATCACAGTTTCAATTTCAGTTCTTGTGATTGGTCTGTTTATATTTTCTGTTTCTTCCTGGTTCAGTCTCAGAAGGTTGTGGAAATCAGAATCTTTTTTTTTTTTTTTTCCCCCAACATCATGTTAGTGAGAATCAAGGGCATTGTTGAATGTAGTTGTAGTTAATTCATCTTCATTGCTATAGAGTATTCCATTGTATAAATATACCATTGTTTATCCATTCTACCACTGATAGATATTTGGGTTGTTTTCTATTTTGGACTATTAAAAATAATACTGCTATGAAAAAAAAAAGAAAACTAAAATGTGCTGGGCACTTACCATATGCCAGGAATTAGTCTGAGGTGTTACTGTGTATGTTTCATTTAATCCTGACAGTGTTAATATCCCCAAGGATATGAAACCCAAGGGTTAGAATAAATAGCACAATAGTCAATGTCATGTAACTAGAAAATGATACAGTTGGAATTTGAACCCTGGTCTGTCTGAGTCCAGAGCTTACATTCTTAATTACTTAGCTATTCTGCTGCAGTAAGTACATCATGTTCTTTGTTCAGAATGATGCATGTTAAATGAAGTAGATTTTGACACTTTAGTCATCTGATCTACTACATTTTATCGTGGGAGTATTCTCATATTGCTAAGGTCACCAAAATAGAGTATATTGTAATTTTCTATCTCGATGGAAGGAGGGCTTTAAGAACATAGATTTTTAGAGTTTGATGCAAAATGATTTTTTTTTTTAAAGCCAAGATGCTTACAGAGGTAGGTTAAGAGAGCTGTGTTGGGAGCTGGACATCTAATTCTCTCGCTTATTACAGAATTGTGCTGATGCGTACAATACAATGCTCTGTTGTGCATACAACGAAAAAAGAAGAGAGATTGATTTTCAGATATATCTGAAGAAAAAGGACACTAGGAATAATTGCATTGTTTGGCACATGGTGTTATGCTTGTTTTTGCTTGGTTTTGGCAAAACCTGAAGAATAAAGTCATTGTAAGGCAGACAGAGTAGGTACTGGCATGCTAGTTGCCAAGTCTTAACACTTATTGGAAAGGTTGAAATAGAGGTGAAATCAAATCTCGAGTAACAGTATTTGTATTGTGGCATTTATCTTACTGAAAATATAAACCTCTAAATTATTATCCTCAGCAACAGGAAACTTGCATAGTTCCACAAGTTTGGGCAGTGTACCCTAAACTAAATGTTAATCAACATATATTAAATGTTCTGTCATTTCACATTTACATGTTATTTTTTTTTTAATTTTTTTAAAAGCATTGTGAGGTGAAAGGACGGTATATGATCATGAGGTGCAAATGTCACTTTATGGTTATGAGACATTCGAATATGATAACAGTTGGCCTTGATAAATTCAGACTGACATACCCAATTAACTTTTTCTTGACTGTCTTGTTATGATAACAGAGACATTTATGTAATAAAAAAAAAATACAGGAGTTGAATCTGGATACTGGATTTCCTATCAGCTCTTCCAAGTTTGCAACTTTAGTTAACACGTTAATCCTTCTGACTAAATTTCCTGAAATGTGATGTGGGAGTAATGCTTGCCCTACTTTCCATACAGAAGGAAATGTTAAAAATTATCATGTAATGTATGATATTGTTGCCTTACAACAACTACCTTACTCTGGTGATTCTGGAAAACATCTGAGTTCTTAGATTTGTTTTATATTGTTAAGTAGCATCTCTACTTGAATATTTTTCTTAATTGACATGAAATATATAGTCATTAGAGGACAAAGTTAATTAAAAGGAGAAAGATAAAATCAATCAAATACTAACACTCAGAGGTCACCACCACAACCTCCTTTTAAAGAAATCTTTACTTTTATATGTTCTTGTCCTATTTTTTATCAATGTAGGCTTTTCTGAAACATTCTATACTTAATTATTTGCAAAACTTACCAAGAGGAAGATTTACCAAATAGTGCTTGCTTGTTAATATTGTGGTGAACAAGCTTCTGATATTGTAGAACATAAATGGTTGTAGAAGGCTCTGGCATTTCTGATACACAAATATGTATATTCTGAATTTTGTTTGCTTGCACACTGATTAGTACCTTTCAAATATAACTTACCTATTCTCTCATGAGAGAGAGAAACTGCTCTCATGCATTAGTATTCAAGAAAATGACTAACCTGTCTACCACTGCATTTTTCACAAGATTCTGTTTTATCACTTTTATATCAATATTATCTTGACATGTTTCTTGGGTCAGGTCTACAAACCAAGGCCTATTTAACCAGTCAGGCACATTAAGCATATTGCAGAGTTCTTTGGAGTTTCTCAAGGGCCTATGGAAATGTCTCAGACAGAATAAAAAAAATTATTGGCCCCAAAATATAGAAAGAGAGAAAAAATTATATCATCAGCTATTTAACTAAATGTACATGAATGTGACATTGCCAACATCGTTTACTTGGTAAATTTGGTTCATAGAAATTTAATGTGTACATATCTTGAAAACATACTGCTGTACACTCAACTTTTACTTATAACCCTTACTCTTGGTAGAAGCTATATTTCTGTACACACAAGATGCTTTGTGGCCTAAATTTTAATATTTAGTTTTATTGCTTTCCTTACCGTGTTGGCACATAGTAGGTACACAATAAATATGTATTGGCATCCTTTGTTATTGGAAGGCTACACTCCTATGAATTGTACCTTAAGGTCTGTTCCTGAGATAACTAAATATTTCTCTGGTCCCCTTTTATGGAGGAAGATTCATTCTCCTTTATATATATCTTTGCATGTCTCTTCCAAATATTCTTACTCAAAGAATTAATCTTATTGCATTAAATGAGGTAGATGCCAGTGGTGCAATGAAATAGGACTTTAACACATTGGATGCTTAGGAAATTTGTTTGAAACAAAACTCTTTTTAGAGCAAGATAGATAATTTACTGACATCACCATCATAAAGTAAAATTTGAACATTTACCAAATGAGGCTATGATGTTATTCTTATTGCTGTAAGACTAGCATTTGCTTTGGGAAAAAAATGGGTCTTTTTATGGAGCTGGATAGTTTGACAACTAGTAGATGTTGCCTGTTAAATAAGACCTGACTTCTATAGATGGGATCTATTATCTGTATTTTCTTGACATGACTGTTGGGTCTTATGGCTGTTCATCCATTAGTTATGGTCTGTCATATGTGAATGGGCCCTGTCCCCATAAAAGTTGATTCATAGCATACTTCTTGCACTTTCCTTCCCTGTGCTGTATGACCCTGTCACATCTACATGCAGCTCTTGTTTCAAAAACAAGTTGATATATGTTTCTGCTCCTTTTGAAGCATCCAAAGTCAATGTTTCCTACTAAACATTTTTTTTTTGGGGGGGGGGTACACGGGCCTCTCACTGTTGTGGCCTCTCCCGTTGTGGAGCCTAGGCTCCAGACGCGCAGGCTCAGCGGCCATGGCTCACGGGCCCAGCCACTCCGTGGCATGTGGGATCTTCCCAGACCGGGGCACGAACCTGTGTCCCCTGCATCGGCAGGCGGACTCTCAACCACTGTGCCACCACGGAAGCCCTAAACTATTTTTTTAAACTGGAAGAAAGAAATAAAACCCCATTACATTGCATGCTTGTCCAACTCAGTGGAAAAAGCAGTAATCTCCTGTTTGTTCTGAAACACCTGCTGGTTGATTTAATGAGTGTATTAAAAATGGAGCTGCCTTGATATTCCTTTTTTAAAAAAACTCTGTTCTCTTTCTTGAGCATGTTTGATTAAAATCTTCTATTTGCTTATTTGCTTCGCCATAGGTTTTTGTTTTTGTTCTTGTTATTTTATTTTATTTATTTATGACTCCCATGGTGTAAATTTAATACTTTACTGATATGTCAGCATAACAAACATAGGAAAGTGTGCCCTTGATGTATTTGGACTAATTGGTTTTGGTTTTTGTTTTCCAGCTGGGACAACGTATATCTTTAGCAAAGGTGGTGGACAAATCACGTATAAGTGGCCTCCTAATGACCGGCCAAGTACACGAGCAGACAGACTGGCCATAGGGTTTAGCACTGTTCAGAAAGAAGCTGTATTGGTGCGAGTGGACAGTTCTTCTGGCCTGGGAGACTACCTAGAGCTGCATATAGTAAGTACTTCTAAAATAAGATTCAGCTTTTAGCTTTAACTGTTAGCTTTTTGTAAATAATGTATAATTCTGCTTTTTGAATGTTTCCCCCAGCAAAAAATATACAGAAAATATAAATATACTCTAGTGGTAATAAGACCTTATAGCTATTACTGTTGTTAAAAATGTTCTTGACAATAGATTTGTTTTCTTTTTAAGTGTGAATTCTCTGTTCACAAACAATTATTCTTGGTGTGTTTTTAGTGACTTTAGGCAGTCTTGCCAAATTAATAAAAAACATTGTGGTCCAGTAGATACTATTCCATCTGGCTGGAAGCAGTAGGTTGTAGTAGCAGATCTGACAGCAGATCTGGATCCAGTGTCCTTATTTCTTTTCTCACCTGAGAAAAGAATTGTCTAAAGTCACATGCAATGGACAGGAGAAAAGGAATCTTTAAAGGTATTTGGGGATATGAAAGAAAGAGACAAAAATATTACTTCTATGCCATCTTATACTCATTTTGATACATACACGTCAAGAAAATACAATGGACTCTTGCCATTTATATCCTGGGACCATGCCTTTTTCTCTAAGTTCTAGGCCTCCCATAAGAATTTAGTTAGCTTTTAGTGAATGTTAAATAATAATTCATGAATGAAAAGCTTTCTTTACCTTTTAAAGTTGTCGTAACTGACTATAGCTTGGGGACTCTTCCTTATATCTCTGCTTTCAAAGAGTTACTAATTTGTGTGGTTGCAATTCTTTAACTTCTTATTTACTCACAATATTTGCAAAGAATCATACAGTCTTTCATTGTCAAGAGATATTAATATTTTATTGATATATCAAAATAACAACCATAGGAAAGTGTCATATATTCAAAAAACTCTAAAGGGTTCTTATCATCATAGTTCTTGGTCTAAACTCTATCTTCTGGAAGGTCCAGAAGCATATCAACCTCTTCATCTGCCTTTCTATTCTTGAGGTATAGTTTATCTCTTCTGCCTTATGTGATCGTATAAGTTTGTTTTGTTTTGCTTTTGTTTATCCTTGCAAGTTCTCCCTTTACCTGCACCCGTGCCTCAGAAGATCTTTGATTAGGTCAACATGTTCTTCCCTGTTAGAAACTGGCCTTCAGGCTGTCATTGTAAAATGATTAGGAAAACCACCAAACACCAAAATATATTATCACAAACTTGCAGGGTCTTAATTCTCAAAGTTTTATTCATTTATTTTCTTACTCTTAGTTTTCTGTTAGGTTTCTAGAATTTCCAATAAACTCAGTAAGGTTACAACTGACCACAAGAGCTGAATTCATTGCTAATCTTGGAAAACAAAAACAAAAACAAAACATATGGTCACCTTATCTTTGATAAAGGAGGCAGGAATGTACAGTGGAGAAAGGACAGCCTCTTCAATAAGTGGTGCTGGGAAAACTGGACAGGTACATGTAAAAGTATGAGATTAGATCACTCCCTAACACCATACACAAAAATATGCTCAAAATGGATTAAAGACCAAAATGTAAGGCCAGAAACTATCAAACTCTTAGAGGAAAACATAGGCAGGACACTCTATGACATAAATCACAGCAAGATCCTTTCTGACCCACCTCCTAGAGAAATGGAAATAAAAACAAAAATAAACAAATGGGACCTAATGAAACTTCAAAACTTTTGCACAGCAAAGGAAACCGTAAAGAAGACCAAAAGACAACCCTCAGAATGGGAGAAAATATTTGCAAATGAAGCAACTGACAAAGGATTAATCTCCAAAATTTATAAGCAGCTTATGCAGCTGAATAACAAAAAAAACAAACAACCCAATCCAAAAATGGGCAGAAGACCTAAATAGACATTTCTCCAAAGAAGATATACAGATTGCCAACAAACACATGAAAGAATGCTCAGCATCATTAATCATTAGAGAAATGCAAATCAGAACTACAATGAGATATCATCTCACGACAGTCAGAATGGCCATCATCAAAAAACCTAGAAATAATAAATGCTGGAGAGGGTGTGGAGAAAAGGGAACCCTGTTGCACTGTTGGTGGGAATGTAAATTGATACAGCCACTATGGAGAACAGTATGGAGGTTCCTTAAAAAACTAAAAATAGAACTACCATATGACCCAGCAATCCCACTACTGGGCATATACCCTGAGAAAACCATAATTCAAAAAGAGTCATGTATCAAAATGTTCATTGCAGCTCTATTTACAATAGCCCAGAGATGGAAACAACCTAAGTGTCCATCATCGGATGAATGGATAAAGAAGATGTGGCACATATATACAATGGAATATTACTCAGCCATAAAAAGAAACAAAATTGAGATATTTGTAATGAGGTGGATAGACCTAGAGTCTGTCATACAGAGTGAAGTAAGTCAGAAGGAGAAAGGCAAATACTGTATGCTAACACATATATATGGAATTTAAGAAAAAAAAATATCATGAAAAACCTAGGGGTAAGACAGGAATAAAGACACAGACCTACTAGAGAATGGACTTGAGGATATGGGGAGGGGGAAGGGTAAGCTGTGACAAAGCGAGAGAGAGGCATGGACATATATACACTACCAAACGTAAGGTAGATAGCTAGTGGGAAGCAGCCACATAGCACAGGGAGATCAGCTCGGTGCTTTGTGACCACATGGAGGGGTGGGATAGGGAGGGTGGGAGGGAGGGAGACTCAAGAAGGAAGAGATATGAGAACATATGTATATGTATAACTGATTCACTTTGTTATGGGGCGGAAACTAACACACCATTGTAAAGCAATTATATTCCAATAATAATAAAAAAAAAAAAACCCAAAACACCTCAGCACAACCATTACTGAACCATCATAAATTTTCAATTCAAAATGCAGTTTTAAAAATGGGAAACATTGAAAAGTAATTTTAGCTGCCTTTTGGCAAATATCGAACCATCAGAATTGAAGGCATCTGGATTTTTATGGCATCATAAATAAGTGATCAGCTGAGATAACTAATGCAGTAAGGAATGTTGCTGTTTAGAGTAATCTCAACTTTCCAAATGTATTTGCTCCATTCTGATTTAAGAGCCTTGGTACTTCAAAAAATAAATAAATAAGAAAACAAGAGCTTTTCCTCCTGAAAGACATTACTTATTGATCCATAACCAATTACACATTTACTCTGAGAAAAGGTTCTATAATGATCACTTGCAAATCATAAGGGGCCATGTTATTGAATTACTCAAACCACTGTTTGTTTTATGGTCAGTGTTTTAGTCTACAGGAATGGGTATTTCCTTCCAATTCTGATCAACTGTGCCTTAGAGTCCTTGTATGTTTAAAGGAACTCGTACCAAAAAACCCAGCCCACTACCTTCCAAAGCTTCTTTACTGGCCAGAGATTTCCGATAGATGTCTTGTGAGGCCCTCCTTCTTTCTGATTCTCCTCTCTTGGTCTTGGCTGGCCATTCACTTTGGATTCAGTTTTTGTTTCTAACACCCTTCCTCTTGGATTGGCTGACTTCAAACTCTTTCTTAATCCTAGCCTGTTCCCTTGACTAGGAAATTGAAGATGGGTGTTGGTTCCCTGGGCTTACCAAACACCATTTGTAGTCAGCCCTACTAACTCCTATATCAACTACTAGGACCCAAATCTGGCCAACTAAAACTTTCCATTTCCCCCCTTTTTCTTTCATTGCCCACAAGCAGTGATCAGCCATTACTGACTCAGCAAGTTGCTTACATGAAGGTAAGCCACTTTTTTCCATGTTTCCATATTGCAAACAAAAGTAAGCCAGTGGTTTTCTTTTTACTTCTAAAGTTGACCTTTAACTCTTTCCCATAATATTGGGTACATGGAAGAGGAAGAGGAGGAGGAGTTAGATATTAAAAAAGGGAAGAGAGAGAGCTTGAGAAAGAGAGAGAGAGAGGGAGAGAGAAAGGGATGGAGGGAGGGAATAAGGAAGTAAAGGGATGGAAAATGAAGTGGGTGGGGACCCAAGCTGATACCGTGGCTGAAGTGGCAGAAGTATTCTTAATAATGATTCTTAGATTTGGGACTGTTCAAAGGCTATTTTATCAAATGGTTTACATACCTTTGAGTATATCCTGATTTTCCCCAAATCATTTCTTCTGCTTCTTTCAGAATTGGAAATATAAGAGGAAAACAACAATTGTAGAAAGATTAGTACTACTGTCTGATTTTAGTTTTTAAATATAACTGACTTAAAAATTAACCTGATGATATCAGAGATATGTTTAGTCTGTAAAAGTCAGAAATTTTGGTTATCTATTAAACTTCCAAGAAAATTTCTATAAACCATCAAGGTCAGCCAAGTATAAACTATGCTCTGATCTTATTTAAAAGCTATATTTATATCCTCAATTAATGGAATTAACCAATAAGCTGGAAAGTCAGTTGCACACATTAAAAGGTGCTCCAGTCTTGCTGAATTGTGTAATGCCACTTTAGTTTGATAACTTTTAAAATCTGATTGGCATATAATTTCAGTGAGGATGTGAATATTTGACATTACTATCCTATTTTTTCAAATGATCATGTTTGATTTTACTTAAAAATATAATCGTATTTAAATTTTGATTAACTATACTCTTAAAAATATAATAACTTGGAATAAAATGATTTTTTACTTAAGTGGCCTAGTCTTTACAGATGGATTTTTTGCCATGTTAGTATTAATGCTACCACTATTAACCTCAAAGCCATATGATATTGCTGTTGAAATGTACAGGGTTTTAGAAGGGGCTGAAGGGAAGATTAAGACATGAAGTGAAGGGTAATTAATTAGCACAGTGCCTAGAATACAAGTGCTCAGAAATGTTTTCTGAAATAATAAAAGAATTCATGAATTATATATTGAAAATATTGTGGCTTGGGTTGAGTATAGACTCTCAGATTTTCAGTAGTCAAAGTGAAGTCATAAGTGCAGTTTAGTTTCTACATAACTGTGAAGAAAGTCATCCAACTTCTTGTTTACGATATAGAAAAAGTGCAGCACTCTATACGTACTGGCTGT